TATTATTATTGTTTGTATTACTAGTGTCAGCAGTAGTAAAAATTTGTGTCATATTTTATGTTTGGACATTAGAAAGATAAATCAGACGTTATATTTGAACAGTTATGGTAATAAGGATGAAGACGAAGAAGAGGAGCGAAACATGGAAAGGCATAGTATTGTGTACAACATATTAAGCCATTTGAATGTGTTGTTTAGTATAATATTTTATATTGTGTAGAGATGAGTTTGTTAAGCTAATGAAATATAATAGGTATTTATTTGTTCTTCTGTCGCAATGAATGTGTTTGAAATAGCAAGATGTATAAATTTGCGATGGAAAATACATATATATATAGAGAGAGATATATGTTTTTTAAGAGAATCAATATACGTACATTTTTGGTTTTTATTAATCCACAATTTCTCGTAGACTCTTATTTCATCGAGAACTTCTAATTATTGGGAAACCTCCCGAAGCAGCTTCACCTCTCCGCTGTTATTAACAGTTGTGTACCTTTTGCGCTTGTTGTTGGTTTCAATTATGGCAGTCGACTCACCTTGTTATTTTCTCTGACGACATATCTTCAGTAACGTCTGTTCCGCTGCAAATGTTAAGGCTTCTCTGCATGTTTCTTTGATACACAAACCTCAATGCGCCGATGTGTTCTATTGCTTATGTCAACATCCATCACGCAAATCGTGACCGCCGGATCTGTGAAACAAGACCGAAAACTGCATTGAAAGACTTGCTCACTAGCCATGAATGTTTTGTCGTACAACCTTCAAAATCCGCTGTATCGATGACTTAACTCTTAGATAGTATGTATTCATGATCGCGAATTGTATTCGTGTCTTTCTGCACATCATACACTGCAAATTGCCTTTCGAGACTTCATTTCCAGGCCTCAGACATTCACACTCACCAGCTAGAGAGACATTTGGGAACCTTTCATTGAACATAGCCGGCGTGAGTACACCGACGGTCTTTCTAACGGAGCCTTGGTCCATCTCCATCTTCATGGTGACATTAAGAGACAGGCAATCAATTTTCCGGGCTAACGTTAATTGTAAATCGCTATAAAGGGAGGAGTGTACAAAAAAAAGAAAAAAAAAGAAAAAGTTTAGCCACCCTGAACAAAATTGATTATGTTTTTTGTCATTATCTTTGTCAAATAATGTCAAAGGTAGAAAAGTTGAAAAAAATGCCATTTGCTTCTTACCGCATTGCCCACACTTTTTGTGATCTTTGTCCCGATTTTACTACTGTTACTATCCTTTACCATCTGGGAAAGCTTCTGTGGTCTTCCACATCTTTTCTTATATTCTTTCTTTTATATTTAACAAGATTTTTAAATCCTTAATCTTCCTAGATTTTATTATTGTATTTTTTTCGGCTTTCTCTGGTGTCACTCGACACACATCTTCCCCGGTGTTGTGAATCCGTTTAGATTTTCTCCTTTTTTCACACTATTTTGATTCGTATGAGGGGCTGCGTTGTCGTTTTTCATTTCTCTTGGGTCATCTCTTGGGTGTATATGAGGAGATTGTTTTCACGGATGTTTCTTTGATCTCTTTGCTTTGATAGATTCCATCAATTGCTCGAGTTTTTCAAATTTCTAAAAAACTAGGCTCGTAATTAGTCTTTTCGGTGTAGCTGGCCGGGACATCGCCCTTGAAACTGGTAGAGGGAGTGGGGCTTTTTCTGCCTTCACCCGTTGGAGCTTCTGGGGACAGATGTCTCTGTGTCTGGAGCTTCCCTTTCGTTTTATCAACGATCTGCCATTTCCATTTATCTTTCCGCAACTGCAGAACCGGCGTGCAAAGGCTATTCGGTGAATGAGGGCCGCAAAATGGACCCAACTGGGTGTTTTACCGCACCAATCCTGGTCGCTGGCATGCCCATTACAGGCGAGACGGAAGTAACAAACTCGACCAAAAGGAATTTGGTCGGGCTGGGGCCAGAACTCTGGAGGTCTTCTCTGAGCAGGAAGAGGAGAGGTTATCTGTCTCTTCACAGAGCATGTTGGTTTACGGCATGTTGGTTTACGGCCGGTCACAATGACTGGCATTTTCTGGCCCTCTACATTCAAACAATTCAGGGTGGGGCTGAAGGCTTTGCAATCTAATATAATCATTGGAGGTAGCTCTGAGTAAATTGGCCTTGATAGGTGGCCAAGTGCTCCCCAAAGTATTGAGGAGGAACATTAAATTCTGAGATGTTGGTTCTTCGTCTGCCCTCATATTCACTTCTTAGTATAAGTGCTTTCGTGATTACATCTCGACTGGAGGCGTCTTGAAAGTCAGCAGGCGTGGGCAATAGTACGTCTTACATGAATTACCGATTTTCTTTGATAATTCTTTGAGGTTTGACCCCCAGGAACGTCCAAGATTTAATAACGGTATCGTCTGTGCAGCGACAATTTTTGTGCGAACGCTTTTCGACCATAAAAACTAACACAATTCTTTTTTCAACCTTTTGTAAATCCTTGGAATCGACAAAGCACTCATCTTCTTTGATAAGATGCGCGAAACTCTTGGCTCTGTCGAGGAACTCCGTCATGTTGATGATACACTTCGGTGGAGACTTGAGAGGGTGAATCCCCGGACGCTATATGGTCGTTTTTATTGTTGGTCTCAGTTGGCAACCCATTTTCGTTTACTTGATCGACCATTCATGACCGCCATACTTTTTTCCTTTCAATTTTGTCTTCATTATTTTTAGTAATGGCTACACTCTTAGCAGCTACTGTTGATTGAGTTTTAGTCTTTTTATCGGGGTGGGGGTCTTTATCCTTTGAACCGAACAGGATTTTTAATCGACCAACGTTTGTCGGCCATTTTTTATTACTTTTGAAAAATAACATTTTCCCCCACGAACAGAGAATTTTCTTTAAAAGAAAAAAATAAATAAAATAAGGAAATACCAAAGCAAAATAATCTTAAACAAATACACAAAACAAATTTAAAAAAGATAAACGAAAAATACAACAAATAAACAGACAAAAGCCTGTTTAACTCAAACGGTTTGACGCGAAAAATAAAAGATTACTTAAAAAAAATAAACACAAACGAAAGCAAAGTCCTTCTACAAAGAGAAAGAAAACAAATTTAACACTGTAAAAACGAGAACAAAAAGGACAGACGAGAAAACATTTGACGGGTAAACTAAAAGCATAAATTTACTAAGACGTAAAAATTTTCCCTTTTTGTAAAATTTAAAACAGCAAGATAAAACAATGAAAAAATACTACAAAAGGAAAATTTAAAAAAAAGTAAGAGACACGTGTAGGATAATAAAATAACATGAAAATAATAATAAAAAAACAGATTAAGCAATAAAGAATTCAAAAAGGAATGGTAGACTAGAAAAAAAATTAAACTTGGCTTGCGAGTAAAAATCAAAATCTGGATACAAAAATCAATGAACGAAGTAACAAGTAGAAAATTAAAGCCAAAAGATTAAGCAGAAAGAAACGTTATACGATAAAAAATTTAGTTTAGGGGCGGGGGTTGAAAAATAAAATAAAACTGAAAATTAAATAAAATTTACACAAAAAATAAAATAAAATTAATAGACCATTGAAACAAGATGTTACACTCGCAAGAAAATAATAATAATAATAAATGGAGTTTCAAATGGGCGTAGAGGTGCAAATACAGCACCGGCTGAAACTGCAAAATACTTAAAAAAGACAGCAAAGACGAATGCAACCGACCAGATACAGAAGCGATGGCAAGAAAACAGCTTCATGTCCAATACTCTGCCCGTACCAAACAAGCTGACGTAGACAAAACCTGTACCCATCAGTGGCTACATAGTACAGGGTTGAAAGCTGAAACTGAAGGTTTTATCCTTGCTGCACAGGGCCAATTCTTGCTAACTAAAAATTATCAAGCACATATACTAAAATATTGTGTCAGCCCAAAATGCAGATTCTGTGATAAATATCCAGAAACGATTGATCATCTTGTATCAGGTTGCACGATATTGGCACCCACTGAATATAAAACCCGGCATGACAGAGTGGGCCAATATCTGCAGTGGAAAATCTGCAACTTCTACGGGAAGTAAACTGAAAGAAAATGGTATGAACACCACCCAGACCCGGTTACGGAGATAGGACCTGTTACAATTCTATGGGACTACACAACACACACTGACAGAGCAATCAAAGCCAACCGCCCACAAACAAAAAAAAGTGCCTCCTTATTGATATGGCAGTTCCTGCTGACTGCAATATATCTTTAAAGATATTAAAAAAGCTGTCAAAATACAAGGACCTTGAAATAGAAATCTCGAAAATGTGGCATATGGGAACATCAACAATCCCTGTTGTAGTTGGAGCCCTAGGACTGGTTGGAAAAGATTACAGTAGACTAATTGAAGATTCCTGGAAGTCCATGCCTCAAGGAGATACAAAATATGGTTCTGACAAGTACAGCCCACACTTTACGAAGGGCTTTATCTATGTAATATATAGATATATTTTTTTGTCAGTGGAAAGTGTCATGATGCCATTTCTAACCTTAGGTCTCTGAGCGGGACCCGGAAAGAAATGTGTAAACGCCAGAAATCAAAGAAAATAATAATAATAATAAAAAAACGACTCAGAAAAAAAGAAATTTCGGAAAACTTTCACAAAAAACGTAAGAAAGATTAAAGATAAACTTAACGTAAAATTGACATTTCTTCAAACACAAAAATTACAAATGTACATTCCACTGGGTAAGCGACAAAATCACGTCCGGCACTTCGCGAGACTTGAGCTGGTCTATGACAATGAACAATCCTAGTACAAAAGTAACAATGAGGAGAGCTCATCAGGATAATTTCCATGAAAATATTTGTAGAAATGACAGGGAAGCCAGGTTGTGTTGGCAGACAAGTCGAGAGACCAGATCAGGATCGATTACATTACAGACCCTTCATTTGAAATTATATTAATGAGTACCAGTATTTTGATTACAGGCAAAGTAATGAACGTTTCATATAAATATGATTTTTAGGCATATCGGCTTCCGGCCATATCACTTTGAACAACCAGTTCTGCATGACCACTGAAGTTAAGTAACGTCGAGCCTGGTCAGTATTTAGAAGGGTGTCCGCTTGGGAATATCAGGTGCTGTAAGCTTAGATGTGCGTGTGATGTAACGGCTCGGACTTGGAAATCAGAAAGCCGAGTTCCAATTCCAATCGGGTTCGTTATGTTCACTTACGCACTCTTGGGAATGGTATAAATCAACCTTTTCTCCGTCAGCTATGGGTTAATTAGTATGACGTGTAACAGTAAACCATTATTATGTTTAAAAAAAATCCAAAAATATTTTCTGGCTTTAAATAACCTGCGAAAGGTTGATAAGCCATAAAAACCAATCAATCAAGTTTAGGTACATCAGAATCTCATGTGTCTTTTCTATTGTCTCTAATTCAATCAGATCAAGTGCTTATACGTGGGCATATTCAGGTGATATAGTTGCCAAACCAATTTGTCTCTTTTCCAACATTGTAGAGCGCATGTGCGTTTTTCGTAAAGCTTGATAATCTACATCCATCATTTGTCACTGATAACGAAAGCGTGATAAGGATCCTTACAGCAATGTTATGTGGGAAGCGTTTTAAGAGAGCACGGAAAGTGTGACAATGAAATCCGAAGGCGTATTGGGATAGAAAAAGAAGCCTTCCGAAAGCTAAGCGAAGAAAAGAAGAAAAATTCATTAGAAACAAAGAAAGGAGTACTGAAATGTTATGTAATATCGGTCCTCCTAAATGGCAGTGAATGCTGGAAATTCTCCTCACAGATGACTTAAAGCAACAGAAATGTGTTTCTACAGAAAGATGCTGAAAATACCATGGACCAAATTCTAGAGATAATGAAAACAAAAGGGACACTTAAACTTAGCATCAGGAAGATGCAGATGAAATTTCCAGGGCACATAATGAAGAAAAAAATTAATAATGTTTCTAAATTCTTGTTGTCCTTACGTATTTCTCCATTTTGTTTTTTCTTTACTATATATTATTGCTGTCTCATCGTTTTCCTGTTTCGTAAATACCCCCATCGCATATATAAAATAAACATTACGTATATATATATATATATATATATATATATATATATATATATTAACCATTTCACTTCAAGCAAGACAATAAAGCCACTAAGATGCAAGAGGTTACTGAGGGTGAAAGAATAAGTTTTGTAATGTCAACGAATACTCGTTGTCATTTTCGTAATGCTCGTTGTAGTAGAGACTTTGTAATCGCAGATACAACTATAGTAACGCCGTTGAACAATGCGGGTGTCAGACGCATTTGAATATCACTCGCACTAATAGTACTTGACCGATAATACTCACTCAAATAGTAATCACCGTATAGTGAACCGAGTAGAGAAATAGTATAGTGAATAGAGTAGATAATAGCGACCCGTACAGTAATAGAGAATAGAGCAGAAATAGCGACCCGTACAGTAATAGAGGATAGACTTGAAATGGCGATCATTAGGCGTCACGCTACTTTCTACTTATACGTTTTCACATGATCACGTGATTCACTTAATTCAATAATGGGATCGCCTGTGTTTGCTCACTGGCGATCTATGTTCAAACTCAAGTGTCGGCAGCGACACTTTATTCCTATATAACAATAAGAAAAAAGAATTAAGGAGCGAAAACGCTAGAAGAAGAGGAATCAAGAAGACAGTAGATAATGAGAGATATTGCATTTAAGTTTTTAAAGATGGAAGCTCACTGGAAAGCAAGAAACCGGAAGAGAGTTCAATAAGCGAGAAGTGCGAGAGAATAAATTGTCTGCATAGAACTTACGGTTGAATCTAACCAATTCAACTGTAAATTAACAAGACCTTGTTGCCAATCTTCAAAAAAAATCTTCATTAAATTCACGAAGCCTAGACACCCAAAGAGGAAAGTTCAAAACAACAATTACTATGAAAGTATTTATAGAAAAGTCACAAGGAAGCGACATTGCAGAGATGGGAAAGTGACTGAATCCGAGATGCCAGGTCACGACCAATAATATTGCTGATTCTTCTTTGGATGTTATCAAGAATCTCTAAATATATAGCAGGAACACCAGACCATATGTGGCACAATATTCAAAGCCTGGACGAATGTTAGACTCATAGATATGTAAGATAGATCCTAACGTGAAAAATTTTCTAGCACGACACACTGAACCAACTTTCCTAGCAGCAGATCAAGAAATTGAATCAGTATAATCTTTTCACTGCATGTCAACGGAGAATATTAGCCCAGGAAGATGCAACGAATCACTCTCCTGGAGAAATGCATCAGCCATGATGGAAGGTAGAAAGGGGCTATTTCAGATGATTATAATTTATTTATTTACTTACTTATGGTGTATGTATCACAGGGCAACATGATGGCCGTGGCGATTGTCCATCATTCCAGGAATTTTTTTTTTATTTTTCCGGACATTAATATATCCCAACATAACAAAATATGGAGGCAAGTACAGTTATGATGACAGAAGTCTTCTACCTCAGCGACGTGTTGGAGGATTAAATTTTGGTTCAGGTTCTAGCCTTCCTCCAATGTCGGGTGGAGGATGGCGAAGGTAATTGCTTCCCATGTCAGCAGCGTGGACTGTCTCAGCAGTTGACACATCTTTCCTTCCTTAGGAATTAAAGAGTAAAGAATTTCACCTAATATCTTTCATCTATTTCAGAAGAGATTTCAGAAATGGGTTCAGATTTCTCTCATTATTGTTTATTATATTTTGTGATGGCTCTTGTATTCCGCAATGTTATTGGTTCTGACCTCGCATCTCGGCTTCAATCACTTTCCCCACCGCCGTAATGTAACTTCCCTGTATCTTTTCCATAAATATTTTCATGGTAATTGTTCTGATGAACTTTCATGGTAATTGTTCTGTGGTATCTAGGCCTTATGAGTTTAAGCACAATATTAGATTGGTGGCAAGGTCTCATCTTTTTACAGGTGAAATTGGCGAGATGTAACCGTAAGTTTTATGCTAATAGTTTCTTCTATTGCACTTCTCGCTTATGGACGTCTCTTTCAGTTACTTGCCTTCCAAACAACTTTGATCTTCATAACTTTAAATGCAATGTCAGTCATTATCTTCTGTAGTCTTAATTCTTGTTCTTTTAATGTTCTCTCTCCTTGAAAGTGTTTTTCTCACTCTCTCACACTCAATTCCCTTGCTTGGGGGTAGAATGATTAAAAAAAATTCAACTGTGTAGTCATCTCCAAAATTGAAAATCCCCCCCTCTCTCTATATATATATATAGTGGAATCTCCCGTCGTATACGATGTATGAGTGTCAGCAACTCAGCTCTTAGGAACTGACAGCCAGACACAAGCACATATGATTTGATTATAGTGGTGAAGGCTTTGTGCAGAACCAACCACACTTTTTGAACTGCCGAATACAGAGACCTGGCACACTACGGGCCACAAGGTCCCCAAACGACTCTCCGCAGGTTTTGAATTCAGAGCTGTCATTCTCCTAGACCAGTTGCCATCCTAGGCTATAGAACCCAGTCTGTCCTGGTATTTACCCATAGCTGGACGGAGAAGAAGAGGATTCATACCTTTTCCAATATATATATATATATATATATATATTAAGGTAATGAAGGGTTTGTTAATCCGTTTGGATAATTCCAAAGAGGATGTGATCCAGAGAGCTCAATGTAAAAACAGAGCAAATATTAATTAAATAATTAAAAAATAGACAACCTTAAGTTTCCATGACTATAATTTATTTACTCAGATATCTAGGGGATGATATTTCAGTGATTTGAAGGCATCGACCTGAATCTAATATCTAGAGTAACTAGAGATGTGACCTGATGGACCAGGAAAAATATATTTTCTGGGGAAATAAATTATAGTCATGGAAACTTAAGGTTGTCTATTTTATATATATATATATATATATATATATATATATATATATATATATATATATATATATATATCACTTTCTCTATATATATTTGATAAAAATAATGTTTTAAGGTATGCTCTATTTATTTTATTTTTTAAGTACACTATATCTCTGACATCTATAAAAAGAATACCCGCTCGGCCCGGTGGCTAGGATCAAAGTGTAGTATCTGCGCTTTGTGAGCTGCCGGGTCGGGTGTCTGTCGAACTCTCTGCTTGCAGAGAGGAACCCAGACGAAGCTCTGCCGAAGGGTAGGGTTTCGTTGGGGGAGGTTGACGGAACTGGCCCGCCTCGGCGGGTTTGGATGGTTATTTATTTTTGGCTGGGCCTACGGGCTCAGAGATACCCACATTAAAAAGGCCTTGTGCCACATTCGATCCCCGTGGGTGGATTGATAAATACCATCTCTGACATTGAGCTCTTTTGTTGAATATCAGGAATGCAAATATAAAAGTGGACAATGTGGTCAATACGAGGGCAATCTTCAGATGGCCTGAGAATTGCGTTCAAGCTCGGTGTTGACCACAGTGTCCACTTTTATATCTGTATATGCTCTATTCCTGATATATAAAGTCAAATACTGAATTATATTGTTGCACCAGAATATCTTTTCAATAGATTGTATGGTCTGGATAACAGAAAACAACTTTGAATTTCTGCTTTTGATTTTGTATTGCTTCTTTGGCCCCAGAGAAAAGCTTTTTCATGCTTGTAACTTGTTCTTTTTTTCTCAAAGTTTGGTAATATCTCCAATTCCTTTGCAATCTCAGCAACATCTGTCAAAACGTTGAAATCTTTCATTATACCCGCAGTCCACAAGATAATTCGTTGTCATCTGCAGTTGTCGCCGAATATAAATAAGCTTCCTTTATTTTTAGTTGCTTACTTGTTGTAGTATTGACTTGTCCCATGTCATAACTGTAATAAGAAATACCACAAACTTAGCATCGATTTTGCAAGTATTTCCAGATGAAAACTTTAATCATGTGTCATCACATATCTCTATTTATGGTGATTAGGAGGTTTTTATGTTATGGCCCAGTAAATAAAATAGTTGGTAAAAATAATCCAGTGACTTGAACCAAAGTGATGTGAGTTCAACATCTGGCCATAGTAGAGCTGAACAAAAAGTTGAGTTACTAAAGGGAAATAACTGAAACTGAGATACCCAGAAAAG